GTAGACTGGGGCACCGATTTAGCCCCTGGACAAGTAGACTGGGGCACCGATTTAGTCCCTGGACCAAGTAGACTGGGGCACCGATTTAGCCCCTGGACCAAGTAGACTGGGGCACCGATTTAGCCCCTGGACCAAGTAGACTGGGGCACCGATTTAGCCCCTGGACCAAGTAGACTGGGGCACAGATTTAGCCCCTGGACCAAGTAGACTGGGGCACCGATTTAGCCCCTGGACCAAGTAGACTGGGGCACCGATTTAGTCCCTGGACCAAGTAGACTGGGGCACCGATTTAGTCCCTGGACCAAGTAGACTGGGGCACCGATTTAGCCCCTGAACCAGTAGACTGGGGAACCGATTTAGCCCCTGGACCAAGAAGACTGGGGCACCGATTTAGCCCCTGGACAAGTAGACTGGGGCACCGATTTAGTCCCTGGACAAGTAGACTGGGGCACCGATTTAGTCCCTGGACAAGTAGACTGGGGCACCGATTTAGCCCCTGGACCAAGAAGACTGGGGCACCGATTTAGTCCCTGGACAAGTAGACTGGAGCACCGATTTAGCCCCTGGACAAGTCGTCAAAAAGCTCCACCCACCTGGAACAGAAGACCAGATGGTGGCTGTGCAAAGCTGGACAACAGTGGCTTGATGTCTGAATAATCAGGAATCTCTCACCTATCTGGTGGAGCTAAAATATAATAATGCAGGAGGATCTTTGTTCTTAACCCCCCCCCCCCCAGAGGATCCTCCCCCTTCCTGACCAGGCCATTTTTTTTCTGATTTGGAGCTGCGTTATTTTAACTGACAATTGCGCGGTCATGCAACGCTGCACCCAAATTAAATTTACGCCTTTTTTTTTTTTTTTTTACCCCCACGAATAGAGCTTTCTTTCGGAGGTATTTGATCGCCTGTGGGGTTTATATTTTTTGCGCTACAAACAAAAAAAGACCGACAATTTTGAAAAAAAAAAAAATATATATATATATTTTTGACTTTTTGCTATTAAACACGTCCGCAACTGTAATGTTGCTGTATTACCTCCCTTTAGATTGCAAATCACTGAGTTAACTGTTGGAGCTATATAAATCCTGTAGAATAATAATAATAATAAACATTTGTTAGGCACACATTTAACCCCTTGATTACCCGAGATGTTAACACCTTACCAGCCAGTGTTATTGGAACAATGACAGCGTACTGTATTAGTGTCACTGGAGACGTCAGTGTCTGTCAGTTCCCACCCACTTTCAGTTAGTGTCAGATTGCCCTCCGCACTATCACAGTTCAGCTATAAGTCGCTGGTCTATGCCAATACTAGTATAAATAGAAAATTCAGTATATATACCGGCGGCCATCTTTACTAGGGTCAGTACTGCTGCTTAAACTCTGCATTTACCTTGAGTTACTGTACAATACTACCCGGTGCATTTTTTTACTTACATTTTCTGGAATAAATTACTTTTAAATACTACACTATGGGCACCTGTTTTTTGGCTCCCAATTGGAGCTACTAAACTTGCAGGACACCCCTACTGATCCAACATCCAGAGGGAGGGAGCCCTGTATCCAGGCAGAGCACCCATCTATCTTTTAGGGGACCTCTGGACCCAGCAGATTTCCACAGTATCCCCAAGACTTGATGACAAATCCATAGATGGAAGCTCACCTATATATTCCGCCGACTTAAAGAGATCCTGGTGGTTATTTATTGTATGCGCATTATCTGTGCGCTTCCGGTGAGTGCGCAATTCTATTATCGGTTCCTATCACAAGCCTGTTTTTGAAACCTGCTGCTGAAGAGGATCATCCATTTAATATATAATGGATATATAATGGGGGAAAAATGTCAGTGCGTCTTATGGAGCGGCCGGTCCGGTATTTCCACTGCCGCCGTGTGAGAATACCGGGCCAGCCGCTCAGCTCTAGAGCGAGACCTCACCTGTTCCTCTATCCAGCGGTGCGCTGTCTTCCCGGCTTCTGTAGTGCGGGCACTGGGCTTGACAGCAGGGTGCCAAGTGCGCATGCGCAAGAAGCGGTGCTCTTTGTGAATGGTAAGGCGGCACCTGGGACACATGACAGGTCCCAGAAGCCGCCGGACCAATCACAAAGCGCAGTGCTTCTCGCTCATGCGCACTGGGCACCCGGCTGTCAAGCCCAGTGCCCGCACTACAGAAGCCGGGAAGACAGCGCACCGCTGGATAGAGGAACAGGTAAGATCAAAGAAAAACTCAGCGGAAGTAAGAGCGGGTACCTGTCAAATTCAGGTACCAGCTCCCCCCCTCCCCAAAGGTCAGCAGTCATCTCCTGTACTGTCCGCAGTCTCTGGTCATCTCCTGTACTATGTCTGCAGTCTCTGGTCATCTGCTGTACTGTGTCCGCAGTCTCTGGTCATCTCCTGTACTGTGTCCGCAGTCTCTGGTCATCTCCTGTACTATGTCCGCAGTCTCTGGTCATCTGCTGTACTGTGTCCGCAGTCTCTGGTCATCTCCTGTACTGTGTCCGCAGTCTCTGGTCATCTCCTGTACTATGTCCGCAGTCTCTGGTCATCTCCTGTACTGTGTCCGCAGTCTCTGGTCATCTCCTGTACTATGTCCGCAGTCTCTGGTCATCTCCTGTACTGTCCGCAGTCTCTGGTCATCTCCTGTACTGTCCGCAGTCTCTGGTCATCTCCTGTACTGTGTCCGCAGTCTCCGGTCATCTCCTGTACTGTGTCCGCAGTCTCTGGTCATCTCCTGTACTGTGTCCGCAGTCTCTGATCATCTCCTGTACTGTGTCCGCAGTCTCTGGTCATCCCCTGTACTGTGTCCGCAGTCTCTGGTCATCCCCTGTACTGTGTCCGCAGTCTCTGGTCATCCCCTGTACTGTGTCCGCAGTCTCTGGTCATCCCCTGTACTGTGTCCGCAGTCTCTGGTCATCTCCTGTACTGTGTCCGCAGTCTCTGGTCATCTCCTGTACTCTGTCCGCAGTCTCTGGTCATCCCCTGTACTGTGTCCGCAGTCTCTGGTCATCCCCTGTACTGTGTCCGTAGTCTCTGGTCATCTTCTGTACTGTGTCCGCAGTCTCTGGTCATCCCCTGTACTGTGTCCGCAGTCTCTGGTCATCTCCTGTACTGTGTCCGCAGTCTCTGGTCATCTCCTGTACTATGTCTGCAGTCCATTAGTTCAGAATATTTTTTTCCTGTTTTCAGCCTCTAAAACCTAGGTGCGTCTTATGGGGCGAAAAATACGGTATTTAATCCATTGGCTATATATATATATATTAACACACCTTTAATTAAGTTTATTAAGCGCTGCACTTTATTTTTCTGGGTCTATTTGAAGGTTTACCATGATTTCCTTTTAGTGTTTCAGCTGCTGACATAGAGCGCTCACTTTATCTATTTTATATATACCATAGTTTGTAGACACTATAACCTTCACACAAACCAATCAATATACACTTATTGGGATTTTTTTTTTTAACAGACATGTAGCAGAATACATTTTGGCCTAAATTTATGAAGAAATGCGATTTTTTTATTTTTTTTTTTTTTTTAATTGGTTTTATAAGCAGTAAGTAAAAATATCATTTTTTTTGTTCTTTTTTTTTATTTTCTGTCTTTTTCCGTTTACATAATATACAAAAAACAAAAATAGTGGTGATCAAATACCACCAAGCGAAAGCTCTGTTTGTGTGACAAATTATATAAATTTCATTTGGGTACAGCGTTGCATGACCAAGCAATTGCCAGTTAAACAGTGCGCATTTTGTTTTTTACCTAAAACACACTGGCACCAATTTAAAAAAAAAAAAAAAAAATCCTGTCCTCTTGACCATTGACCCTGATCCAAACACTAACCCTGGCACTGAACTAGATCAAACCTTGATCTAGGTATTTTTTTTTTATTTTTTTAATATTTATCTTTTTTTTTTTTCAAAAAATTTTTTTCTCTATGCCAGGAGTTAGAGAGGTACAATGTATCTATCTCCTCCATTCATAGAGGAAAAAAAAAACAAAAACAAGGGGGCGCGGGCTATGCAGTGACCGATCACAGTGATAACCAATCAGAGGCTATCACAGCGATCATGTGACCCGGAATCGGGTGTCCCGGTTCCCGATCATTAGAACGGGAGTCTCGGGTCCAGGGGTGTATTTAGGTTTTGTGCTGCCCTAGGCAACACAAAAATTGGCTCCCCTCCCCTTCACAGAGACACCCTGACACCGAACACCACCCCCCCCCCCAAGAAGGAAGCCTGACATTGACCAACAACACCCCAGCCCTCCCACCCAGGAGAGCCTTCATTACCGCTGTCCCCCATACAGTGGCAATATCCCCCCACCCTGACACTCCCCTTCACAGCTCCGGACATCCCCGGGAACAAAAGTCAGGCTCTTCATACACCATCAAGCAACCCCACTCAGATCCCACCTGGTCCCCATGCTGCGTGTCCCATCTTCCATCCCTTCTTTCGGGGTGCAGCGCTGCCCCTCTGAAAAATGCTGCTGCCCCCCTAAAAAAATGCCACCCTAGGCAAATGCCTAGTTTGCCTTGTGGTAAATACGCTCCTGCCCGGGTCTCGATCGTTAGAACAGGAGTCCCGGAGCTCTCAGTGACACCCCGGTCTTTGTGCTGGGAGTGCGCTGTGCTGCGCGCTCCCAGCAGAAAGACAGGTGCGAAAATATGCGGCCCTACGGAAAAAAAGCCCAGTTCTGTGAGGCCGCATATTTGTGTGACGTCGCCGTCAAGGGGTTAAAGTTGTGCCATGAGGCTAAGGATATGAGATGTTTTAAGAGGCCAACTGTAGTGAATGTATAAGCAGCATCGTCTGAACTTTCATTATTCATTTGGGTGACATGAGTAATAAATACTGGTTTAAGGTGAAGCAAGATTTGTGCCCAGGCCAGTCTGTGTTGATGAAGGGGGCCACATAAACAATTGCCGGTTGCATTAAAATATGGCCGTATGACCAATGGTGAAAGGTAACCTCGGCACACACATGGGACATGCTGCACCTAGACTTACTCTAAGCGTGTGATCCTGGCTTCCAGTCACTAATCGGCCAGCTGCTGCAGCTTTCAGTACTGTGATTGGCTTCTGGTGGGCGCAGGCCACGGTGTGGGTCAGCTGACAGCGAATGATGTCATCATTAGAGTACAATGGGGAGCTCGGGACTGCAGTGCGATTGGGCGTCCCTGGAAAGAAAGGGGGCTGTTATAGATAGATGGACAGAGTACCATAAAATACAACAATGTGCTTCCCCTCCCAATACCAAGATAGAAAAAATCTCAGAACTTCAATTTTATTTATGAGTTTACCGAAACTTGGATAAATAGCTCTGTATATAAGATGCATCTGGTGCAAAGGATTTGGATGTATCCGGTCTATAAACCAGAGGCTCTGGATGGACGGTTGGATAAATGGTTCTATATTTGGTTTATAGACCTGATACATCCTAAACATAGAACCATTTATCCAACTGTCCATCCAGAGCCTCTGGTTTATAGACCGGATACGTCCTAAATATAGAACCATTTATCCAACTGTCCATCCAGAGCCTCTGGTTTATAGACCGGATACGTCCTAGAGGCTCTGGGTGTACATTTGGATCAATGGCTCTATATTTAGGATCTATCCGGTCTATAAACCAGAGGCTCTGGATGGACAGTTGGATAAATGGCTCTATATTTAGGATTTATCGGTCTATAAACCAGAGGCTCTGATTGGACAGTTGGATCAATGGCTCTATATTTAGGATGTATCCGGTCTATAAACCAGAGGCTCTGATTGGACAGTTGGATAAATGGCTCCATATTTAGGATGTATCCGGTCTATAAACCAGAGGCTCTGGATGTACAGTTGGATAAATGGTTCTATATTTAGGATGTATCTGGTCTATAAACCAGAGGCTCTGATTGGACAGTTGGATAAATGGCTCTATATTTAGGATGTATCCGGTCTATAAACCAGAGGCTCTGATTGGACAGTTGGATAAATGGCTCCATATTTAGGATGTATCCGGTCTATAGACCAGAGGCTCTGGATGTACAGTTGGATAAATGGCTCTATATTTAGGACGTATCTTGTCTATAAACCAGAGGCTCTGAATGGACAGTTGGATAAATGGTTCTACACTGTAACGATTTTCAGGTTACTTGCCCAACATGACTAAACGGGCATTAATGCAGGCCACAGACAGGTCGAAAATCAGATTTTTCGGCCGAAAAAAAAAAAAAAAATTGGCCAATTATCGCACCGTTAATGGGTTAATTGGTCAGCCGTTTTTCGGGGTTTTGGCACATTTTTTTTTAATCGGTGAAGTTGGAAAAAAATCGGCCGATTTTGCAACGATGGGCAAATCGGCCGATCTTTTTACCGATCAAAAAATCTGCGCATGAGCCGTGGCCTGCAAGAAGAAGAAAAGAAGAAGAAAAAGAGAAAAAGAAGAAGAAAAAGAAGAAAAAGAACAAGAAAAAGAAGAAGAAAAAGAAGAAAAAGAATTCCAGTCCGCTATTATATTTGACATGAAAAAGTCTTGCGGTTGCAACAATGTATCTATTTGTATCCGAATAAAAACATCTGTATCTGAAATGGATACATTGTTGCAACCGCAAGACTTTTTCATGTCAAATACAATAGCGGAGCTCTCTGCAGGGACAGAAGTAATTAAATGCTGGCCGTAGACGGGACGAAAATCGGCCAATTTTTTTTTACTGTTGGTGGTAAGTCGGCCTATCGAGCGACCGATATTTCGTTTTTTTTTTTAAAAACGGCCGGTTTTCGACCCGTCTATGGCCTGCATAAGTCTCTTTATTTCTGCGTTTATGATGAACAGTTGACATGGAAATGCTTTTTGCTTTAATAAGATTGTGCTGCGTTGTATTTTAGTGGTGGGATTTTGGGTTCCTCTTGTCGCTGACATTATGACAGGTTATCTTGCCTCCATCTAGTCCTGGCGGATGGAGAGATGATCTCACCTCTAAACTGCAACTGGCTGGTGGATTTATGAGATTCCAGGCAGAAGAAGTCGATAGAGCCGTTCAGCCGGGCAGCCACGATCCTGCGACATACAGAGCAGAGTTAGTATAACAGAGGAGCACCATCACCCGCCCCGTCCAGGAGGTCTTCTCATTTTAATGAAGGGTAATATTTGATTTTCAGCTGAAATTTCTTTCTGGCATTACCCGACCTAAGTCTGAGAATTTCTACAACAGCTGACCTAATGACTTGGATCCTCTCGTCCAGCCCAGTCCAGGAGAACCAATTTTGCGCTTGTGTCAACCACTTCCCGTCCGGCCCATGTACATACACGGCCATACAGGAGCCGTGCAGGAGCAGGTTGCCGTTCATAAACGGCTCCCGCGTTTTCAGGTTGTGCGCGCTCCCTGGGAGTGTGTGGCACCGCGATACGGGACCTCTATGTGAGGTTCCGATCATGTGATGACTGATTGGCCAATCAGTGATCACATGAATAGTAGTAAGCAATGATGTCACTTTTGACATCATTGCTTACTACCTGTGAAACCTGTGAATGATCACAGAGGTCACGTGGTACAGGGCTATTCACAACAGCCTTGTACCATGTGACAAGCTGTGACCAATCACAGCTCACACAGTATTTCTCAATGGCTGCAAGACTGCAGCCCAGAGGGAAGGAGAAATGATTGCTTTTATAGCCTTTATGGGTGTAAAAACAATCAGTGTTTAAAAAAAAAAAAATCATCACCCCCCCACAAGTAGTACAGTGTCACTATGGTGACACTGTACTGCTAGGGTGACAGTATGTTAAAAAAAAAAAAACAAAAACAAACAATAAAAACATATAAAATAAAAATGTAAACAAAACTTTAAAAAAATTATAATTTTTGGTTATAAACTAATTTGGGTTTTTTTTTTTTTTTACTAAAAAGATAACCGAATACATTTTGGCCGAGATTTATGAAGAAAGATTATTTATTTGCAAAATGTTATAAGAAAAACACCTTTTTTTCAAAAATCCCAGTGGTGAATCAAAACCACCAAATTAATATGGTGACAGTTAAAAAAAAATAAACAAAAAAAAAACAAAACATAAATAATAATAATAATATAAAAAAAAAAAGTTTTTAAGAAATTATCATTTTTGGTTATAAACTAATTTGGGATATTTTACTAAAAAGATGGCAAGATTTATGAAGAAAGATTACTTATTTGCAAAATTTTATAAGAAAAACAATTTTTGGATTTTTTCATTTATATAGCAAAAAAAAAAAAAAAAAAATCCCAGTGGTGGATAAATACCACCAAAATAAAGTTTTATCTGTCTCAATAAAATTTATATGGGTACAGTGTTGCATGACCGCGCAATTGTCATTCAAAGTGTGACAGCGCTGAAAGCTGAAAATTGGCCTGGACAGGAAGGGGGGGGAAGTGTCCAGACTGGAAGGGGGGGGGGGGGGGGGGAAGTGTCCAGACTGGAAGGGGGGGGGGGGGAGTGTCCAGACTGGAAGGGGGGGGGGAAGTGTCCAGACTGGAAGGGGGGGGGGGGAAGTGTCCAGACTGGAAGGGGGGGGGGGGGGGGAAGTGTCCAGACTGGAAGGGGGGGGGGGAAGTGTCCAGACTGGAAGGGGGGGGGGGAAGTGTCCAGGCTGGAAGGGGGGGGGGGGGGAAGTGTCCAGGCTGGAAGGGGGGGAAAGTGTCCAGACTGGAAGGGGGGGGGGGGGGGGAAGTGTCCAGACTGGAAGGGGGGGGGGGAAGTGTCCAGGCTGGAAGGGGGGGGGGGGGAGGTGTCCAGGCTGGAAGGGGGGGGAAAGTGTCCAGGCTGGAAGGGGGGGAAAGTGTCCAGGCTGGAAGGGGGGGAAAAAGTGTCCAGGCTGGAAGGGGGGGAAAGTGTCCAGGCTGGAAGGGGGGGGAAAGTGTCCAGGCTGGAAGGGGGGGAAAGTGTCCAGGCTGGAAGGGGGGGAAAGTGTCCAGGCTGGAAGGGGGGAAAGTGTCCAGGCTGGAAGGGGGGGAAAGTGTCCAGGCTGGAAGGGGGGGAAAGTGTCCAGGCTGGAAGGGGGGGAAAGTGTCCAGGCTGGAAGGGGGGGAAAGTGTCCAGGCTGGAAGGGGGGGAAAGTGTCCAGGCTGGAAGGGGGGGAAAGTGTCCAGGCTGGAAGGGGGGGGGAAAGTGTCCAGGCTGGAAGGGGGGGAAAGTGTCCAGGCTGGAAGGGGGGGAAAGTGTCCAGGCTGGAAGGGGGGGAAAGTGTCCAGGCTGGAAGGGGGGGAAAGTGTCCAGGCTGGAAGGGGGGGAAAGTGTCCAGGCTGGAAGGGGGGGAAAGTGTCCAGGCTGGAAGGGGGGGAAAGTGTCCAGGCTGGAAGGGGGGGAAAGTGTCCAGGCTGGAAGGGGGGGAAAAGTGTCCAGGCTGGAAGGGGGGGAAAGTGTCCAGGCTGGAAGGGGGGGAAAGTGTCCAGGCTGGAAGGGGGGGAAAGTGTCCAGGCTGGAAGGGGGGGGAAAGTGTCCAGGCTGGAAGGGGGGGAAAGTGTCCAGGCTGGAAGGGGGGGAAAGTGTCCAGGCTGGAAGGGGGGGAAAGTGTCCAGGCTGGAAGGGGGGGAAAGTGTCCAGGCTGGAAGGGGGGGAAAAGTGTCCAGGCTGGAAGGGGGGGAAAGTGTCCAGGCTGGAAGGGGGGGAAAGTGTCCAGGCTGGAAGGGGGGGAAAGTGTCCAGGCTGGAAGGGGGGGAAAGTGTCCAGGCTGGAAGGGGGGGAAAAGTGTCCAGGCTGGAAGGGGGGGAAAGTGTCCAGGCTGGAAGGGGGGGGAAAGTGTCCAGGCTGGAAGGGGGGGGAAGTGTCCAGGCTGGAAGGGGGGGGAAAGTGTCCCAGGCTGGAAGGGGGGGAAAGTGTCCAGGCTGGAAGGGGGGGAAAGTGTCCAGGCTGGAAGGGGGGGAAAGTGTCCAGGCCGGAAGGGGGGGAAAGTGTCCAGGCTGGAAGGGGGGGAAAGTGTCCAGGCTGGAAGGGGGGGGGGAAAGTGTCCAGGCTGGAAGGGGGGGAAAGTGTCCAGGCCGGAAGGGGGGGAAAGTGTCCAGGCTGGAAGGGGGGGGGGGGGGAGTGTCCAGGCTGGAAGGGGGGGGGGGGAAGTGTCCAGGCTGGAAGGGGGGGGGGGGGGGGGAAGTGTCCAGGCTGGAAGGGGGGGGGGGGGGGGGAAAGTGTCCAGGCTGGAAGGGGGGGAAAGTGTCCAGGCTGGAAGGGGGGGGAAAGTGTCCAGGCTGGAAGGGGGGAAAGTGTCCAGGCTGGAAGGGGGGGGAAAGTGTCCAGGCTGGAAGGGGGGGGAAAGTGTCCAGGCTGGAAGGGGGGGAAAGTGTCCAGGCTGGAAGGGGGGGAAAAGTGTCCAGGCTGGAAGGGGGGGAAAGTGTCCAGGCTGGAAGGGGGGGAAAGTGTCCAGGCTGGAAGGGGGGGAAAGTGTCCAGGCTGGAAGGGGGGGAAAGTGTCCAGGCTGGAAGGGGGGGGGGGGGGGGAAGTGTCCAGGCTGGAAGGGGGGGGGGGGAGGGGGAAGTGTCCAGGCTGGAAGGGGGGGGGGGGGGAAGTGTCCAGGCTGGAAGGGGGGGGGGGGGGGAAGTGTCCAGGCTGGAAGGGGGGGGGGGGGGAAGTGTCCAGGCTGGAAGGGGGGGGAAAGTGTCCAGGCTGGAAGGGGGGGAAAGAATGGTCCAGGCTGGAAGGGGGGGAAAGTGTCCAGGCTGGAAGGGGGGGGGGGGGGGAAGTGTCCAGTGGAAGGGGGGGAAAGTGTCCAGCTGGAAGGGGGGGGAAAGTGTCCAGGCTGGAAGGGGGGGAAAGTGTCCAGGCTGGAAGGGGGGGAAAAGTGTCCAGGCTGGAAGGGGGGGGAAAGTGTCCAGGCTGGAAGGGGGGGGAAAGTGTCCAGGCTGGAAGGGGGGGGGTGTCGTTAAAGTGTCCAGGCTGGAAGGGGGGGAAAGTGTCCAGGCTGGAAGGGGGGGGAAAGTGTCCAGGCTGGGAAGGGGGGGAAAGTGTCCAGGCTGGAAGGGGGGGAAAGTGTCCAGGCTGGAAAGGGGGGAAAGTGTCCAGGCTGGAAGGGGGGTGGAAAGTGTCCAGGCTGGAAGGGGGGGGGGGGGGGGGAAGTGTCCAGGCTGGAAGGGGGGGGGGGGGGGGAAGTGTCCAGGCTGGAAGGGGGGGGGGGGGGGGGCAAGGAAGTGTCCAGGCTGGAAGGGGGGGGGGGGGAAAGTGTCCAGGCTGGAAGGGGGGGGGGGGAAGTGTCCAGGCTGGAAGGGGGGGAAAGTGTCCAGGCTGGAAGGGGGGGAAAGTGTCCAGGCTGGAAGGGGGGGGGAAAGTGTCCAGGCTGGAAGGGGGGGAAAGTGTCCAAGCTGGAAGGGGGGGAAAGTGTCCAGGCTGGAAGGGGGGGGAAAGTGTCCAGGCTGGAAGGGGGGGGAAGTGTCCAGGCTGGAAGGGGGGGAAAGTGTCCAGGCTGGAAGGGGGGGAAAGTGTCCAGGCTGGAAGGGGGGGAAAGTGTCCAGGCTGGAAGGGGGGGAAAGTGTCCAGGCTGGAAGGGGGGGGGTGTCCAGGCTGGAAGGGGGGGAAAGTGTCCAGGCTGGAAGGGGGGGGAAAGTGTCCAGGCTGGAAGGGGGGGAAAGTGTCCAGGCTGGAAGGGGGGGAAAGTGTCCAGGCTGGAAGGGGGGGAAAGTGTCCAGGCTGGAAGGGGGGGAAAGTGTCCAGGCTGGAAGGGGGGGGGGGGGGAAAGTGTCCAGGCTGGAAGGGGGGGAAAGTGTCCAGGCTGGAAGGGGGGGAAAGTGTCCAGGCTGGAAGGGGGGGAAGAGTGTCCAGGCTGGAAGGGGGGGGGGGGGGGGGGGGAAGTGTCCAGGCTGGAAGGGGGGGGGGAAAGTGTCCAGGCTGGAAGGGGGGGGGGGAAAGTGTCCAGGCTGGAAGGGGGGGGGGGGGGGGGGGGGGAAGTGTCCAGGCTGGAAGGGGGGGGGGGAAGTGTCCAGGCTGGAAGGGGGGGGGGGGAAGTGTCCAGGCTGGAAGGGGGGGGGGGGGGAAGTGTCCAGGCTGGAAGGGGGGGGGGGGAAGTGTCCAGGCTGGAAGGGGGGGGGGGGAAGTGTCCA